CCCCCGGCCCGCTTCGTTGAAACTCCATTCTGATACATACCGATGTTAACTATCGTGGGCGGTCTTGTGCGGCAGGACATCGCGAAGGAGGTAGTGGGGGAAGTTGGAACCCTTGCTATGGGCGTGCGGAGGGCGGGGCTGATCCGGGGCGTCCTGGGTTATTGGAACAGAGATGAGGGAGGGCTCGAGGAGGAACAAGGCCGAGAAGCCTGATTGATCAACGCCGGGAGTATCATCACATGCTGCTGTATGTTTCTAGTATCGCTCAGGGGATGCGATGAAGGTGCGGGTTCGGGGGACGACGTGGCAAAAGGCGGGGTTGTTGTTGTTGCGTGCATCAGCGGGAATCGAGAAAGTTTATTATTTATTTTTGTTCTCTCGGTAATTCTGTTTTCTTGCGGTGTGGGTACGAGGCCATCTCCCTCTCAATTGGGGGTTCCGCATCGTTGACCCGGGGGCGGGGGGGGGTGCGGGGTAGGCGCCCGAGGGCTTGGTGGACCTAGCCGCGACGGGGCTTGGGTTTGGGGCGTGCAATGCTTGTATTTCGGCAAAACGGGGCAGGATTAATCTCTCCCGCTCTCTTTGGTACGTGGCAAGGGCCGCTTGCGTCGTGTGGATTTCGATTGGGACGGCAACGCCTGTCTGTGTGGAGGCTTTTTTGCTTTTCTTTTGGCATAGAATTGTGCCTCAAGCTGCCGGTGAAAGTCAACGTGTGATGTGGCTAGGGAGAGAGTTGGGATTAAGTTGCGAGAGGGTGAGGTTAATGCGGCGGTGCGATTGCAGCGTTTACCGTTTCGCATGTCGAGGAAAATCGTTACTACTGCTCCTTCTGGTCCAGCTATGTAGATGTGTGGTTTGTGTGGATTTGGGGGGCTTACCTGGTGATTTCCCCGTCAGGACCAAGAGGGTACATGCTCGCCACGCAATAGGTTAGCGCGGAAGATGATGGCTGCTGCCGCAGCGGCGGCGGGGGCAGAGTGTAAATAGCGGGTTGACGCCCAAAAACGACAGCAGTACAGTAGTGACGTACGCAGAACAACATATCCTAATAAAATATTCTCAAGTGTAGCACACTTTTTAGATTTCAAAGTCGCTTGCGAGGCTGTGCTGTGGTACACCACACCGCGGCTCGGTCGGCAGAACAAACGATTCATGATGAAGATTCGTGACAGTATTCCATGCCCGGGACGAACCCGTCGCGATTTTTTTGTGCCGTGGAATAGGTAGCGATGACGCCGGCCTCGTTTTTCTGTCGGCCACACCGGAGGACGTTTGTACAGGTAGAAACATTTCAAGATATGTGTACCCCCCCCCC